ATAAGAACCAATACACCTGTTTATGAGGATGTTAGAGGAAATTGAATTATTCCTCAGCGTTGTTCATTTATTTCAAGTATGTCAGTCATGAGAGCACTTTAAACCATAGTATCAATCATAGTAACTTGAGAAAGAAAAAAAAAATGATTGAATAACAAAAAATAGTGTTAGTAAAGTAAGAAGAAGGCGAGATGAAGGAATCTCGGTTGGGAGACCAGAGAAAGAGAGAATAAAACGAGGCGTAGAGAAGCGATTCAAGCCATCGCGTGAATATGGTGCACAAATGAGCGACGGTGTATGGACGAGTGATTCACGGCGGTAAGATCGTGCTGCGTGTGTGAAGGAGAAAGTGTATGGATAAAGATTGATAGTGAATACGGCTGTACTAGAGCAAAGAAGAGATGTTATAGAAGAGAGCTTATATATATATTTATATGTATATATATGTATGGCCTAGATCCAATATAAGTGAGGCCAAGAGTGACACACTAATACAAATTTTAGCATATTCTTTATGTTCTTTAACAAAGTATATACTCCCCCCGTCTCAATATAATAGTTTTATTTATCATTTTTGTTCGTCCCAAAATAATAGTATTATTTTCATAAATAACCATATCACCATAAAATTACCCCTACTTTTTCATTTTTATTACACAATTGTCACTACTTTTTATACTAATACACTCATAAGGGGAAAAAAAATTTTAATCCATACTTTTTACCAACTACCAATGTAATATCAATATTCCTTAAATCCCGTGTTTAGCCCAATTAATACTATATTTACGGGACGGAGGAAGTATTTATTTATTGTGTTATTGTACGTACCATTAAAATTATTCTTACATTTTTTATACAAATATCATTACATTTGTATTATACAATACTAATAGAGATTTTTTTTTTTTTTTCTGTTAATTTGTACTATATATGAATATAATACTTCTCCGCCTACCAAAAATGTATCTGTTTAATTTTTGTTCGTAGATTTATTATAATAGTATTATATTGATATGTAATACAATTGACATATATAAAGACTATTATACCCTTAACATTTATGTTATTATTTGATTATATATTATTTATATTGGATGAACAAATTCTTAATAAATAGTTAAATTAAATTTAAAATATAAAATAAATAAAAATAATAATTTATAAAAAGTAGATAGACTAGTAATATATAAGATTTATCACATTGCAATAAAACTTATTAATTCAAAAAATATAAATATATAAAAACTAATGTTATTTTATCTATATTATTAATATTACTATATATTTTAATAAAAATACAATAATATACTATTTTAAGATAATTGACTCTTTTCAATGATACAATATTTACAGTAACATTATTTAATTACTTAATAATATTGAGTTATTATATTATTTTATATAATTAATAAGATGGATAGTTTTCAAATAATTTAATACTATATATAATTAAAAAAATTAAAAAATATATTTAAAGATTTTAAAGATTATCTCAATAAATAATATATTCCATTCGTGCCTTTAATGGTCACATTTATTTTTTATGTCATTGTATTTAACATAAAAAAATATCTTTGTATTTGTATATTTTTGTACAAATATTTTTCTATTAGTATAATAAGACACTAATAAAAGTATTTTTTTATTTTTTTTTTTTAATTTGTACTAGGTTTTGATATAATAATTAATATTTTAAGATCAACACCCAAAAAATAAATGAAACCCTTAGAGCTGGACGGAAGTAGTATGTAGTATGCATAAAATTTTAGAGAGTAAATTTTTTTATAATACAAGTATATAACAAATATTTTTATTTATTTATAATTAATATAAACTAATTTTATAAAATGATAAATATTTAAATATAAATAAAAATATTTATTTGTTTTTAAGAAGATAGATGAAAATAAAAAGTTCTTGAGTGTGTCTTATATGTCATATAACGTTATGTCATATAACGTTATATGTTAGTTAATTAAGTTGATTTATATTTGTTAAATATATTTTGATTTAGTAATTTTTACAAAAAATATATATATATATATATATCAAGTTATTATATTATAAACAAAAATAGAATTTTAATACTCTTACATCTCACTTAAATTGTCCACTTTAGGTTAAGCACTACGAAATTAGTAAATAATTAAAAAAATATATTAGTAAAAATAATTATAATTTAATAAAAATAAGTATAAATTAAGATTACAAAATAATTTAATTAAAATAAAAAATTATAAATTATATATTTTAAAATATGATTAAAGTCTATCATTATAATACATTATATAAATATATATTACCTCCGTCTCATATCTGTATATCCATTTGTTTTTTTGCAAATATTAATATTATTGTTAGAAATTTTGGGGGAAAATAATGGGATTGTGTTATTGATCATCAAAATAAAGAGCCTATATATAGACAATACAAAACATACTCGATAAACTCAAATCTAAGTAATCTAATTTATGGATAAAATCAAATTTAGATATAAATCTACTAAATCAAAAACTGAAACATCCCCTCCCTCAAACTCAAGTGGTATAACAGAAAACAATTTGAGTTTGATGAGAAATTTGAATATAAACACAAAAAGAAAACATAAATAAAAATAATAGTTGACTCTCAATCGAAGCCGAAAATGAGATGACTCTCCACCTGAGCCGAAAACAAGATGACTCCACCGGAGCCAAAAAACGATATGACGCTCCACCAGTGCCGAAAACGAGATGACTCTCCACCAAAGTTGAAAACCATATGACCACCGGAGCAAAAAACAGACAAATCGCAAACATTGGACAGATCAAATCGCACGCAGACAACAGACAACAGACAAACAGCGGACAGATGACAGATCATAGACAGATTTCCGGCAACAAATAAACAACCAAATATGGCAGATCACACGCAGGCAACAGACAGATAACGACATATGGCAGATCACGCGCAGCAACAGACAGACAATGACAGATGGTAGATCGCACGCAACAGACAAACAACGACAGATGGCAGATTACACGGAGCAACAGACAAACAGACAACAGACATATGGCAGATCGTTTCAAATTACTCGCAGGCAACAGACAAACAGCAAAGATTTCAGATTGCACACAGGCAACAGACAAACAGCGGACAGATGACAGATCGGAGACGAGACAGATTTGCAAAAAGACAACTTGCAAAGGTATAATCTCAAAATCACAAGATCTCCGGGTACAATCCAGGTTGAATGTACCCGGAGAAATACGGGTTGGTAGGTTATATCTACGGTATGAGAAACATAGGCTCTGATACCATTTTAGAAATTTTGGGGGAAAATAATGAGATTGTGTTATTGATTATCAAAATAAGGAGTCTATATATAGGCAATACAAAACATATTCGATAAACTCAAATCTAAATAATCTAATCTAATCTATGGATAAGATCAAATTTAGATATAAATCTATTAAATCTAAAATTGAATATCTAAAATATCTCAACAATTATATTAGGATGTAGTAAATATAAACGTAAAAAAGAATAAACTAACATTATTAATATTGCATGATATAAACGTAATGACATTTATGTAATATATTGTAGATTGAAAGAATATTTATAATGTTAAGTAAATAATATAATTATTAAAAAAAATAGATATTTTATTATGAGACGAATCAAAATAAAAAAATAAATAGATTGTTTAACTACGGGGAGATGGACTATTATTCTTATATAAAATATACACACCATTTAAAGTTTTTGCCGTAACCAAAACACATCCAATCGACTCCACAGCCGCCGCCGCGGTGATGGTGCGCAGGCAAATAAAAAATATGAACCACCGGTTCGAATTGGGGGTTCACGGTTCGGTTCGATGGTTCCGGTTCAAATCAGAACCTCCGGTTCGAAACGGTTGGGCAACTGTAGATGGGGGCGGGGAACTGTTACGAGACGCGGCGAATGCCAATGTACCACCCAAATGAATATATAAATATAATATTATTTGGATTGTGGATGGGGCCGCTGAGGTTGTGACGAGACGACTCGACGCTGAGCAATTAATGTGTATGTATGTATGTATATATAATATAATATATATATATATATATATATGATGTATCTGTGCATGTGAGGGGCGCGTGTCCCTTCCACCGTTTGAGAGCCGCCTTCGGACACTGCTTCTTCCACATCTCCTCGTCTCATATAAATCACCCTCGTCATCATTAATATATATATATATATTCTCTTCATCGTGGAAACTTATATCAATTTGACAGGTAATGAATTTTAAGAAAAATAATAAAATCATAAACTTTTTTTTTTTTTTTTATAATGAGAAAAATAATTATTTTATTTTTTGTATTAATGTAATTAACGAGCCAGCTAGATCTAGATGTTCATCAGACAACACAACCGGCCGGTTCGCCCGATCCATCACAAAGAATTAAATAATGGTGTCGTCATCACAAGAAAAGTCAAACTTAGAATCTTGCAATTATTCAGATGCATAGATAGATATTAGTACCTATATCAGAGACCATGAAACCAACCAGCAGACATCCAAAAGAATCTTCCTACCCGGATCCGATCCGAGATCCGACCCGCATCCATTATTCAATAACTGGCAACAAATTTCCCACCACGGTTTCCTTTCTTCAAAGGGAGTAATAATGTGTGTGTGGATATTAAATATATACACACTGTACGTTCATATAAAGTGCAGATATTAATTTTATTAAAAATTAGATAAAATTATTTATAATTTCATTGTGATTTTTCATTATAATTTTTTTATTTATAATAGCAAAATTTCATAAAATATTTTTTAAAATATAAGAGAGGTTATGTAATATTTTTAATATATAATTAAGCCCTTGTTCCTTTCTTTCACTCTCATGCGAAAAGTGGAAATATAGACAAAGTTGATTGCAAATTAGGCTTGATGGGGTCCACCAAGAGAGGAAAGGCGTATAGTATAGTATAGTTCTGCTGCTTCCTCCTCCTTCTGTTCGACTTAGTTAACTGAACTTCTCTTTCTCTATCTCTCTATCTTTTTCTCTTTCTGGTTTGCTGCTCCCTTTTCCTCATTTCCATCTCCATTTCCATAAAGGAGATTCGCTCTCGTCTCTTCCAGCATATTACTTGCAATTTGTTTCCCCAATTCCACTCCCGCTTCAAAATATCTGATCCCTTCTTCAAGGTCAGTTGAGTTGAGTTGAGTTGAGTTGAGTTCAGTTTCTGGCCAGACAGACAAACAAACACCTCCTCAGGATCCATTGTCGCTTGGCTTCTTCTCACAAGTTCCAACCAATTCTGCAAGAGGATCACCGTACCTTCTTCTCCTTCAATTTTCTCGATTAACTGAACCGACTCCATATCCCATCCATGTCTCTCTCCCGTTGTCCCTGAATACTGCACACTGCGCTCAAATTCTAACTATATATTTACATCTATCGTTCTTCTCATATCACATACGGTGAGTGCTTCTTATTTTGTTCTCCTCTGTTGTGATTTGTGAATCTCCAGACTCTTCTCCATTCCCTATCATTATCAATTCTTTCGTGCGCGCACTCCTCCTGTTTATCAGGGCGTGTTCATTGCTTCGCCTTATTATGGTTGCGTTGCATGTATTTATTATTCAATCACCTGTTTTTCTGGTAGAATTAATTGGTGCCATTTTAGTTACGTGCGTTGCGGCCTACTTTACATACCCTAAGTTTCGTTTTTCTTGCTCTATTATCCACTTAAGCAGAGTTCATGTTTAATTTGTGTGAATCTGTATTGAGTTCAATTTCTCACGACGATATATCTTCCTTCTTACATGTGGTGCTCATGCTGCTGGCTAGCTCTGTTTGATGAGTTTTTGGTAGAGAATTGCAGGGAAAGGAATTGAAATCTCCTTCCTTCCAAGTTCCTCTTCCTCATAGATATTAGTTATATTGATGGCTTGGTACTCCTCATAAATTATGTACGTGCGACTGTGCGAGTGTGTGTGTTTATGTGTTCTGGTTGATGAGGATGACATGTTTGTATCTTTGATGATACAGGGGTTTTTGCTTGTTATGGCATGGAGGAGGAGGAATGGTAAGCGCTGATATATCATGGAAGATGGTGGCTTCTCACCGGACACCATGCTGGCTGCAACCATTGATTTCAACCTCATGGATGAACTCCTTTTCGACGGCTTCTGGCTAGAGACGAGTCAAGATCAATCCAACAACTTTTGGCACCCTTTTCCCTCTGCTGCAACCTGTCAAAGTTCATCTCCTTCCCCCTTTTGCTTTCCAGAGGCTGATCATAACCATCATCACCATCATAATACAAACTGCTCAAGTCCAAACTCGTGTAGCTTGAAAGAAACAGAAGAATTGAACTCACGTCAACATTTAGTGATGAATGAATTTCCAGGTCATGGAACCTCCACCACCACCTCCTCCTCGTCCTCGGTTCCCCCAAACAGCTTTGTGGGCCATCAGGACAACAAGGCGAACGCGAGGTTGTGGATCGGGCCAGACAGAAATCCTACCAGTAGTACCAATGCCCTCTCGGTGAAGAAGAAGTTAGTGCAGGCTATCAGCCGTCTGAAGGACTCTATCGGGGACAAAGATGTCCTGGTTCAGATATGGGTTCCCGTGAAGAGAGGAGGCAGGCAGGTTCTTACAACTAACAACCAGCCCTTCTCCCTCAATCCAAACTGTAAGAACCTTGTAGACTACAGGGCTGTTTCTCGCAACTTTCAGTTTGCAGCAGATGAGGAGTCCAAGGAGTTCACTGGTTTACCGGGTCGTGTTTTTCAAAACAAGCTGCCTGAATGGACTCCTGATGTTCGGTTTTTCCGAAGAGAGGAGTACCCACGAGTGAATCACGCCCAGCAGTACGACGTCAGAGGATCGGTTGCCCTTCCAGTATTTGAACAGGGAAGTGGAAATTGCTTGGGGGTGGTTGAAATCGTGACAACTAGTCAGCAGGTCAACTATCGTCCTGAGCTTGAAACTGTATGCAAAGCTCTACAGGTAGCACATCGTTTGGTTCTTCCCTTCTTCTAACGACATGGAATTAATTGTGGTTTCGATTTCTGCATTGTGCAATGCATTTGCTTTACTTCTTTCTCAGAACCTTCCCTTGGCTTGCAGGAAGTTGACTTGAAGAGTTTCGATGATATTCGGAGTGCTCACAGTACACAGGTGATAGATTATGAATCATCTCTCTCCCAAATGACTATAGTAACAGAGATAAAAGATTAAGTTGATATCTGGTTAAAATGGTGCAGGATGCAGCAGATGGATCTTACCAAGCTGCCCTGACAGAGATCAGAAATGTATTGAAGTGTGTGTGCGAAGCTCATGAGCTGCCATTGGCACAGACATGGAGTCCGTGCTCTCAGAAAGGGAAAGGCGGTTGCCGCCACTCAGATGAGAATTACGAACGCTGTGTTTCTACCATTGACTCCGCCTGCTATGTCGGCGATCAGCAAGCGTATGGCTTTCACGAGGCTTGTTCTGAACACCACTTGCTCAGAGGTGAGGGCATTGCTGGAAAGGCTTTCCTTACAAATCAACCATGTTTTGCCCAAGATATCACTGCCTTCAGCAAAACAGAGTATCCATTGGCACACCATGCTCGGTTCTTCAACTTGTGTGCTGCTGTGGCAATCCGCCTCAGAAGCACATACACAGGGACAGCTCACGACTTTGTTCTTGAATTCTTCTTACCCCTGAATTGTAAGGCTGCCCAAGATCAGAAGCGAATGCTTGAGTCCTTGTCATACGTTATACAGCACACTTGCCAGAGCTTGCGAGTCGTCACGGATCAGGAGTTGGCTCAAGAAACTCCTCCGGCCGATGGAAAATATCCAAAGTCTACAGTTGGGTCGTCTCCAGAGATATCATCTTGGGTTAGACACATGATGGATTCCCAGCAGCAGCATAAGGGCAAGGGGATTGTTTCGCTGCAGGATCATCCTGATGATAAGGAGGAAGAGGAGGAGGAAATGGAGGGAGGATTTCGGGTTACAACCCAATGGGATGCCCAGCAAAACTTGGAGCATGAACTAGGTTCTCAGGATACTGGAAAGTTCATCCTCGACTCCAAGTCAAGCACAGTCACAGACAAGAGAAGGCCGAAATCAGAGAAGACTATTAGCTTACAAGAACTCCGGCAATATTTTGCAGGGAGCCTAAAAGATGCTGCCAAGAGTATTGGAGGTATGAGATCAGTAGTTCATCATCATCCTTGATTCTCTTTGAATTCTATCTTCCTCTTAATGAATTGAAGTGCAATGCAGTGTGCCCAACCACCCTGAAAAGAATCTGCAGGCAGCATGGCATAACTCGATGGCCTTCTCGAAAGATCAAGAAAGTGGGTCACTCATTGAGGAAACTTCAGTTGGTGATGGATTCAGTCCAGGGTGCAGATGGTTCAATTCAGCTGAGTTCTTTCTACAACAGCTTCCCGGAACTCGCCTCCTCCGCAAATGCAGCTGCTGCTGCAACTGGGAGCAGCAGCAGCAGCTTACCCACATCGTCGAAGACAAGTGATGAGCTGCAGCAACAGTTGAACACTCATCCCCTGCTAAGACCTAAAACCACTGCTTCAAAATCACCTTCTTCCTCCGGCAGCAGCAGCCACAGCCACAACTCCAGCTCAAGTTACTGTTTCTCCACGGGGGCGAACCAGTCAACTTCTTACCCTGTAAATGTTTCCAGCTGTGGAGAACAGACTCAAGGGGTGCTGCTAAAGAGTGATGCCGAATTGCAGGAATCGAGGACCCAAGGCCAAGATGGCAAAAACATTCTTCTCCGATCTTACAGCAACAAGATGAGTACTTCTTCCCTGTCACCACCATTGCCAAAAGCTCTCCCCAACCTGCAGGTGGAAGATCATGCAGCAGCAGCAGCCCGTTTAAGGATAAAAGCAGCGTTTGGGGAAGAAAAGATAGTTCGATTCAGTTTGCAAGCAGAGTGGGGGTTCGAAGAATTACGACAAGAGGTCTTGAAGCGTTTTAACATAGAGGAGAAGGATGGCAGGGGCAACAAAGTAGATGTAAAGTATCTGGATGATGACTGTGAGTGGGTTCTTTTGACATGCGATGCTGATCTTGAAGAATGCATAGACATACACAAAACTTCCCAAAGCCGGACGATAAAACTATCCGTCACCCAATCCAGCTCGTCCTCGTCGTCGTATCAGCGGCCAAGCCAGGGAAGTTCCTTTGGATCCACCTAACTGTTATATTACTTTTTCTTATTTATTTATGGAGATCAGAAACCATACCTGCAGCCACAATATTCAGAGAGGAAATATAATTATATACACATACACATACACATACATGTCTTACCTTTTGCTGCTCAATAGTATTAGTAGATCTCTGGTTAACAGGTCATCCATCCAGTTAGAACTGAAGTGAAGTGATGTTACATCTTCACTTATTTGTTTTTCATGCATTGAACTATAAGCCTGTTGTATATTATTTATTAGCAGACTGAACTTGATTGTAACTTTTGAATTAGTTTAGTTTGAGTTTAGCACATCTTCTCAGTTTTTGCCTTCTCCTCCTCCTCATCAATTTGAGTTGCCCCAGAAACAGCAGCGGTGCTCCTGCTGCTGCAGCTTGACCAAGTCTTGTTCGTCTGTGACACTGCTCATCATCCCATCCCAGGCCCAGGCCCAGGCCCAGGTTATATAATACATTGCTCATTTCATTGTACTATATTATATCCAAACCCAAAAACAATTTCCAAACTAAAAATTTGCATATCATATGTAATTTTTGGGAATCTTTCGAGGATGTAGTGTGAGGATCAGACTCGTAACATTGAGCTCATGGGTTAAAATGTTTGACGCTTTTAAATTTTGTTTGCCACACATGGTTATTTAGCGTAACTTATCTTGTCGAATCTAATTTATAGGCTATTAAATTTGATCGCAAGTTTACCCGAGCACATTTATAGTGTAGCAACCAACATTATAAAGTAAGTACATAAATAAATAATTCACATTTCATTAAACCACTATTGGAAAAATTTTATATCGCGAAAAGATTAAATAATTATTGAAAAATAAAATTCGATATTAAAATAAATTCGATAATCAATAATAATTTATCGAAATAAATTCGATAATCAAAATATAGAAATAAATTCGATAATCAATTTATCAAAATAATTTTGATAATCACAACAATTTTATGGAAATAAATTCGATAATCAATTTATCAAAATAATTTTGATAATTACAATAATTATATCGAAATAAATCGACAATCACGTCGAGTCGTGGTAGAACCTCTTTCCGTAAAAACGAATACGCCCCGGTAGTGCCTCTGATTCGTGGCGTAACATTCCCAAAGATAAAACGACGTTCGTCTCCGAATTAGGTGGCACTCTAATATTTCGAAGCTCCGGCGAACTAAAATGAGGGGAACACACGATGTTGGGAGGCAAGAGGTCGGAAAGTCGCCGGAAACTTAACCGGAGAACTCGCCGAAAATTTTGCCCGAGAAGAGAGGATTAGAGAGAGAGATCATAGAAAAATCTCAGTCCTTTTGTGTGGTTTTGAATGAAATGGTGGAGAGAGCCTTTTAGAGGCACTCTACCCTTGGAGTTTAAATGCCGAGTCGAAACCGTCGACTTTTAATGGCTTGTAATCGTCGGCCATAATTTCGGTAATGTCCGACAATAAATATCATACTTAATCCCGGTCATAAACATCAATTTAATTCCGAATATAAACACCAAATTTAATTTCGATCATAAATATATTATTTGAATTTTAAATTTTAAATAATTATTTATCATATATACATCTAATTATCTGGTCCGGACATGTGACACGCGCGGCTTACCGGCATTTATATGCCTAACCACACTATCAATAACCACCGTACAACCCAAATGCATTTTAACTCACCGTATAATCGGATTCGAAAATTAGGAATTTAATTTAAAATTAAATTTCATCGATTAAATAATTGACCAACGAACACATCCATCATCCATCGCCTTCATTATGTAATTTTTTGGAATCTTTCGAGGAACTGGTGCCCTCTGTAATCCCACAACCAAAAATTCATTTCATAAAATGGAACAAAGATATCGTGTCTAGTAATAATTCCCGATTCTATAGTAATATTCACATTTCACGGCCAGAAGCCTGAGAAAGTACATTTCGTCCTTTTCATGTCTCTTTGTCCAACTCGTCATCCAGTTCTTGTTTCTAACTGCATAAAAAGATAATCCTGGAAAGAAAAAGGAACAATCAAATGCATTAATTAATAGAAACAAGTTTCCTACAACCTCAACTATTCGCCGATCATCGGCCTGCCTTGTCACCTGAATATATTATGCTTACTTCCTGCACAACTTCGTCTCATCGCCTTAAATGATTCCAAATTCTCGAAGAGAATCCGGGCTAACAAAGAACACGCGTCTTTGTCCCTGGTATCGGAATACAACTACTCCTTTATATGCTGTTCTTGGGACTCCATCCTGAAAGACACAAAAAATTGCCATAAGGCATGCTTGCCAAGAAATTGAAACGATAAGGTTTATGGTATATTATTAAAAGCTATCTCCAGGTTGAGTAAAACAGGTCCCGACCAACGAGTAAGAAAATGAAGGGAAAAGAACAAGATGTCCTTTATCTATCAATGGTTGGGAATCACCCAAACTACGTACAAACGAAAGAATACCAACATGGTTAAAACACAGGTTCATCTTGCACAAGTCATCAGCTGTTTAAACCTTGTAAAAATGCCAATCATTTTACCTTCCATTCTTCAAAAATGCCAAATTTACGGGCAATGATTTCGAACTCTGACTGGTCTCGGTACAAAATTCGTACATCGCCGCCTATGTTATTGACCTTCAGGATAGCATCAGCTCCGTGCGTAGGAGTTGCGTTTTTAAGCATGTTGGAAAAGTACTCCACGTGTTTGTCCTTTAGAAGCACAGTGGTTACAATCTTTCAAATTTTATATACATGTTCTGCATAATGCAAGACTTACCTCTTTCAGGTAGCTCAGGTCCATTGATTTCCAATCAACCTTCCAGAAAAACCATTAACGTAAACTTCAGAACGTGGAAAGCAAGAATGGAGGGGAAACAATAGATAGATTAGTGACATACCTGGACATCGTTCAATTTGATAGGTTCAAGGTATTGTTTGAAGAACTGCCCCATACTAGAACCCTAAGAAAACCAGGGAGACTTGTAAAAGCATGCATTGAAAAAGAAACAATCTCTGAATTGCTTGCACAATGAAAACACTACAAATCATGAGCTTGTCTACTTACACGACAACAAAATAAGATTAGCTAAGAGAAATAACTAGATCAAGCTCTCAATAGCATAAATGTGTTACGTGACTGTTCTACATAAAGGCCTTTATATAGCAAGATTTATACACACGCAAAACAACAGCAACAACAACAACAAAAGGAAAAAAAAAAAAAAACAAAGTGACAATTGCAGGGTAGTGAAATGTCCGAGGAGATTCACCTGAGCATACTTAATGACAATTACAGAGGGGAACTCACAACAGCATGTCACATAGTAGATGTTACACCATACATGCTATGGCTAGACATTCTACTGATTATCAAACTTGTTTTATTCTTAGCCATGTAACCTAAATTTGACAATCAGCATTGACGCTAAATAAAATTATATCAATTAGATTAACAAATTTAGGAACCAATACATTCACTCACCTTATAAACAACCAATTTGATTTTGCTGACGACATAGTTCAAATATATGGTTGGATAGGGTAGGATAGAATTATAAGAGTTTACTATTATGGTGTGTTTGGTACAGAGAATAAAAATATATTCATTTCTCTTGTTTGCTTAAATCATATAAATTAGAATTGAAAAATAAATAATTTCTTTTTATGTTTTCATTTCAAATATTTAGATAAATAGAGAAAAATGAAATTTGTATACCTAAATATGTATTTTTATTTTATTTTATTTATTTTACTATTTATCTTTTATAATTTCTTTTAAAAATATATTGTTCTGATTTCATAATATTCATATCAAAATTATTATTATTATTAAAAAACTACTAATTAAATATGACAATATTTATTCACAATTTTTTACTTCATTGAAATCCTTTTTTGTTCATCATTTTCCGTGATTAATACATTTTCTTAGTTTTCACTCGTAATATACAATCTCATCTAGATCGATTTATCCGGTTTGTTGCATTTTTTATATTTTTTAAAATGAATTCTTTGTTCTACCAAACAAAATCCCTTCTTCTATAATTTTTTTCTCACCTATCATTTCTCTTCTCTTCAATTCCATTCTATGAACCAAATGCACCCTTACGAATCAAAACCTTTGGAATCATCAAAGGGTATGTTACTCATTGACTATGCTTCTTGCTCTGATCTTTATGCCCTGACTCACCCACCTTGGACAAACTTTGGGGTGAAACTCTTAGATTTTCAGAGCATTGGATTCTAACCAATGTTTGTGTTACTCAAACTAATATTCTCAGTTCCACTCTGTCCACTGCTGCTAATGGAGGGGCCTCCATCTAAGAAGGAATCTGTGATAGAACAAGATGAATAAGATAAAAACAATACAACGGTACCTACCGTTGCCAAGTAGCCTCCAGGCTCCTTGGTTCCAAAATGAAGTTATGATCTTCTAAACCCTAATGACCCCTCTTTAAATATCCCTCCTAAACCCTCTTTACTAAAAACAAATTAAACTCAAAACAACTTAAGTTCATCCAAGACATAATCTAAAACATAACAAAATATAAGCCCACCTAAGACATAACAAAAGACTCGTAAAACAAACTAATAAAAGCAAACTCGCAAACAATAGGCCTAAGCCCGTCATCGTCGTCAATATACAAGCAACGGTTGAGACTCCTCTTATCCTTTAATCTTAATATCATGCTCTTCTTGATCCTGCGCTCCATCAATTCTATCCCCTTCGAATGGAATTTGTCCCCAAGGTCGAAGTGGTACAACAAGAAATTACCCACCCTCAGCCAAGTGGCCTTATTGTTCAATTTTCTTGCCTACTTAACTAAGATTTGATTTTCCTGATGTTCACCTTCCCATATCCTCCGCAAGGCAAAAATAAATTCAATCTAAAAAATAAGATCCACCGGAAACTCTACAGTCCAATAACTCCAACTCTTTGGTTATAAGATATTTGTATAGAACTATTACTTTATCCAACTTCCCATAATCGATAGAAATGGCAATGGTCATTTTTCTTTTTAACGCAAGACTAGGACAGGAAAGGGGCTTGAGATCAGTCAAATGATTCTACAATATCACTCACCGGTTTCTGCATCTTGTCCTCCTGAATGTGGCTGTAACGATAGGGCTGAACAAAAAGTGGATTCATCCAAACGGTAAGCTCAATGCGATTATCAGTTAGCCTAATCAATGGCACACCCTACGACTCCTCAAAAACCACGACAAATTGCTATAAAACAGCCCCAAGTTGTCCCGCATCTAATTTTGTGATTTTCGCGAGGTTTTCACAATCACCAATTCCTAAAATTCAGCCTTACGGACTCAGCCTCACGTCTCAATACTGCTTACTATCATGCTTTCCCACTAATGTGTTTTTACATCTGTAGGTTTTCAAGGTGTTAACAATTCGTTTCTCGTTTCCACTTCGTCCATCATAGTTTGCACAAAAACTTCCCTTTTAAGGTGGAACGCCCTTACCAACATACGTCTTCCCCACTGAGCCATTTATCTTTTTGGTAATACTTGTTTTGTCCTAGAAACTCATTCCTTAATTACTAAGTTGAGCCCCATATCTTGTAAGTGCATCTTTCATAGCTATTGTCATTTACAACCAAAAATATCGGTATCTTTACCTCTTTAAATCACTACGTTGTCTCACATGGTGTTTCTTTCCATGAGCATCTTCCAGTTAATTTTATCTCTTCCCATACTAATATATAGGAGAATCAAATCAGTTTTGCTATCATGCGTTTGAGTAATCTCAAGGGCTCTTTAATTCCTCAATTGTTGTCCAATCATCTCCACCCATAGCAATTAAAGTTTACGCTAATTGTCATCCTTCTATGGCTTTTCGTTCTTTGCATCCTTGGATTCCCCTCCTGTGCCACAAGCTCTCTCGATCTTTTGATTGTCCTTTCTAAAGATAAATGTACGTAAGCTTATAACATCGCCTTTGTTGTTTTCTATAATCACTTGTCCTTTTCCTTGTCCTTTTTAAAACCAGTTCTATCACCATCCCAAATTTGTCCGGGAAGCTTTAGCACATTATGGTTGGCATGTCCCTATGACGAGGAGATAATCTCCTTGGTCATCATGGTACTTGGTATTTGATGGACTTACATGCTCGAGAGAGACGAATGGGTTGCAAATGGGTATTTAGATTAAAGAATAATTTTAATGGTTCTCTAAAGGTAATGCTCAGGCTCGGGCTTATGATAGTAACTATTCAAAGACATTTTCTCATGTGGCCAAATAAATCTCGTTTCACTCTCTCACAACCACTTATGGATGGCCTCTTCTTTAGTTCGATATTAAAAATACATATTCTTCATGAATAAGTAGAAATTAACTCTCTTTGTTGCTCAAGTAGAGTATGGGAAAGTTTTTCATCTTCATAAATAATTATATGGATTAAAACCGAGTCCTCATCGTTCAACATATGTAATCAAGTTGTTTTGCATTATACAATGCAAGTACAAATGTAATCAAGTTGGGAATCTTTTACTAGTTGTATATGGTAATGATATTGAAATGACAGGAAGCGATGGTTGTGGAATTACTCGGTTGTTGTTCCTTTGACAAAAAAAGATCAGCCAAGCCTATTCTACACCAAACATGATCACTCTAGAATTGAAGGTTTTACGAATGCATGCTTCGGTGGTTTTAAGGATGATAGGAGATCAATGCAAAGATTTTGTGTTCTCGCACAAGGCAATCTCATATCTTAGCGAAGCAATAAAGAAAACATAATCTCATAATTTGTTATTGAAATTGAATCCAAATTCATGAAAACTGTGGGTGTGTTCACCCAACCAAATATTTTATACCCGTTTTATGATTAATATTACAAACAAAAAAATGAAATTATATACACTCACAATATATATAATATACTGTTGAGATATTTTAGTTATTTAGGTTTCGGATTTAGTCGTTTTAGATTTGAATTTTATGAATTGAATTTATCAAGTCAAGTACCATGCCTATTTATAGGTAATCATCTTATTACGAATACAATGCAATTTTTCGGTCATCTACAATTTTCTTCTCACATGGTATCATAGCCAATTATTTTTCTACTAGTGTTAACATAGTCTCACAGGGTATCATAGCCAATTATTTTTCTACTAGAGTAAACATAGTCTAGAAACTCACGTTTCTCCGGGTACATTCAACTTAGAATATACCCGTAAAGCAATGACGGTATTTGGGGAATAAGCATCGGCTAACTCTGTATCAGCAGCCGCGGTAAGACAGAGGATGCAAGCGGTTCTCTCAATTTTGAGATTATGCTTATAATTGCTAGTCTTTTTGTTTCTGATTTTGATTTCGTTTAATTTGATAGTCATGTGCGTATCTGTGAGTTGTCGTCACAGTTTCTCCCACTTCTGGCCATCTCCGATCATCACCGCTATCTGATCTAATCCATAGTTGTTTTGCGAGTTTGGCCCTTGATCGTTTGTCGTGATTCAATAAAGAGCCTTGCTCACAATTGCGTTAAGAATCTTGTTTCCATTGAAAGTCTCATTTTTTACTCTGTTGAGAGTTCCTTTTTTACTCCGTTGTGAGCATGTCCCGTCTTCGACCCTAACTCAGTTGAGGGCACTAATTCTAACTATAACATGGTGGACAATTTGGCTATGTCATTTCAATCTCTATTTGCAAACTCAGGTTGTTTCTGCAACACTACTTAGTTTGAGCGGATGCTGAGATATTTTAGTTTTAGATTAGATTTATAGTTATTTTAGATTTGATTTTATCCATTAAGTTAGATTGTTATGATTTGAGTTTGCATATTTACATGCCATCATCTTTATGAATAGGCAAAATTGCAGAAAACTCACATGTGGTCTCACAAAATTGCACCAAATCTCCTATACTTTCAAAATTGGTCAGACTCCCTCGTACTCTGCGTCTAACCCCTCTTGACATGCTTACACAACATACATACCTAAATAAAAAACACCTCAAACTAAAAATACTAAACAAACACACTTTATATTTGTGACATTTTATGGATGCAAAAATTGATAAGATAGAATGGCCACAAACTTAATTTTCCGACAACACTGAAGTGTGACAAATAGTCTACTTTACATGTTGCAACCAATTTAGTACTCCATAAAAGCACGAAGCATATTAAAATTGATTCACTTTATGTGCCATAAGATTCAAGGAAAAATTCATCCATACATAATACATTAAGTCCGAAGATCAACTTTGACAAGTTTTCACCAAGGCACTAAATGGTGTATGAATTAAACATAGTTGTAACAAGCTGGGTATGACAAATATAATGCTCTAACTTGCGGGTAGTGTTGATTATTATAGTTCACATGTATAGTTTAGATAATGCTAGATTATAATAGGATCATTAGAGTTTATCAGCTTGGATAAACTATTGAATAGACTCCTAATTATATCTATATGTGTGTGTAAGATCTCTTAAAGAATCCTATTACACAAGTTTAATAGGTGCAAAATATGATTCATTCACACCAAGAATTTTAAGCAACTTTCCCAGTCTAATAAGAGCCAGGAAAGAAACAAAACAGCCAATGGCAGGAAGTAATGACCAAAAACTAAAGTATATTGCCAGGATTGAGGTTACACTCAAGGCAAACACATTATTCAAATCAAATAGAAAAGGCTCTGCACCCCGCCACATTATCAATTTCATCTTATAGTTTGAAACAGAATAATATTAATATATAAGGAGAAATTTAAGCAACCTTCCTATCATATAAGCTCTTATTAAACAACTAAAGTGGAAGCAAACGAATGAATTAACAAAAAAAAAAAAAATGGTTACTTGATGGAAAGCACATTAATCAGGTATTCAAAAGCAATATAAAGACTGATATAGAATTCCTTACATGCTCCCCAAAATTATATGTCCTGCACACTTCTGGGCGAATGAACTGTCTTCCTTTGTGATTTTCTTTCAGTCTCAGCCAATCATCCCAATAAGTAAGTGCTTGGTCAAGAAAAACCTCAAATATTACAGGAATGATACACTAGAGTAATGGTAACACAACATAGGGTGAAATAAAATGTTTTAGTTTTAATAAATATGAAAAACTAATTGAAACATTGAGGATATGCCTTTGGCCATTTAGGAGACAATTCATCCCATGTGGATTTAGAGAGCATCCATCCCAGACCAGGAAAAAAATCCGAGCGATAAAGCACATCTGAAGGAGATAAAGAAAGCAAATCAATTACACTGCTAAAAAGTTTAGCTAACATGGTTGTGCATTGAACAAAACTAACTACAGCAGTGTCCATATGTATCCATTATTAACCAGTTTATCATAGAAATTCTCAAATCTGAGTGGGCACAATTTAGAGAAACCTGATTTTAAAGAGAGAGAGATTAGTTAAGCCACATGTGTAGGATCAAGTTGAGCATAATATAACTACAGGATAAGAGGTATTTCAACCAAATAGTACAAGGATTAAGACAATATATCGTATAAACAATGAGACAAAATAATTGAAGTGAGGATTAGACTTGATAAAGTTAAGAGATGAACACACAGAGAGGAAACATACGATGAAATAGAATTTACTTTACATTAAAGATGTAGCATACATATTTACATCAAACCATCGCTTCTTCACCTTATTTGCACTTAAATGCAAGGTAATTTCAAATTTCATAACCTTTTTCATTTTATAGGAGGACATATATTCTTGAAGATAATGTTGATTTCACAGCATAAAAAGCATCCAATAATTTCAACAACCTTTGCTTTGCCATTTCATTCTAAACAAAAAGAAAACAGAAAAGACTACATCACACCTAATTTGTTTTAGTAAAGAAGGTTTACTTCAGAATATAACATGAAATGACATAATGAGGCTAACACAAAAACAAAGGAATGCAGTATAACTGGAAGAAAAAAAATATATATATATATATATCCCTGAGCTATGCCAAATACAATAAACAACTCTAAAAGTGAGCAAGTTCTCTAAATCTTTTTAACTTCAAACGACAAGCATCAAAGGACAGAAACACAAGATTGCTTCAATTATCCAGATGGATAAAAATGCCAGCCGTTCTAAGTTCTAACTAATAGTGAACCACAGATCAATCTCTATCCAGGCAATATCAAAACAGATCGGATGACTAATCATTAGGACCTGAGTGACTTACAAGGATCGTGGACAAATTGCCTTTGCCCATTATCATTCCATGAAGAAATAGCCATAATAGACCTATCAGAATTAGTTTAATAGTAACAAAGAACTTCAGGAATCTAAAGTTAGAATTTAAACCAAATAAATCCAATCAGATGAGATTTGCATAGCAACCACACTTGTCATTGTCAAGGATGGAGGCTCCAGCTTCAAAGTAATCAAAAAAATCAGGGGCAATTTCCATGTCATCTGCATAGTGAACCATTTCTTAGTGAACACAGAGAACGAGGCTAAGAATTGAAAGGATAGGAAACTCGAGCACCTTCAAGGATGATAACTCTCTTGAATCCATGCTTGTAAAACAATTCATCCAGTGCCCACTTATAATGGCCTGCCAAGATTGAAAAAGTTAAATGCACCTGGAATCCCATAATTTTCCGTATGAATTGAAAACAAAAAACAATATAGCATAAAACCATACGTGCAATCTTGTAGTATGCGATCAACTCCCCAGGTCTTTCTGTATGCACAGGTTCATAGTCCAAATGCTGGGTCAAGTACACAGAAACATGAGAATTATTATAGTCCACCAAAAAATAAGAAGGGAAAGACAAGAAGGGCTAGGAACTTGAACGAGTACATCCATCCCCTAATGTTTCAGAAAGTCAAATTTTCCAAAGACTGGAAAGACATTTGAATGAAACAATAATAGTCAAACATGCTTTAAAAAACAAACACTGAGCCAGAAAGGTGTCATGCCATGTTTTTGGATTCCCAGTTAACAAAGATTTACCTGCATGTAGGTTAGCTGGTCATAACTCAAAGCCTTACTCTTAACATGAGGATCTGATCCATCCTGCTCAAAAGAAAATCAAGAATAATTTACATCAAAATATACTCCGTGCTCTAAAGTACGCAAGAGAGGAGACTAGGAGTGGGGGTGGAGGAGAAAGAAAATGAGAAGAAGATACCTGAGATATGAAAAGTGGATATCTTTTTGCAACAGTTCTCTGATACCTAGTAAGTACAAAATTTCCTCAGTAGAATGCTAGAATCTAAGTACAGAAAGACAACATGAACATACTTAAGGATAGATTTGATGGTCCTGTCCAGATAATCAGCACGATTACAAGCCATAACAACAACTGCTGCCACTGGTACCTGATCACTCAGTAAAATATTTTTAAACAGTTAGTCGTAGAGAACAGGTGCCAGCTATTAACTCTTTCAAAATTCAGCTGCACCTGTAAATCACCAACAAATTTCTTCAGATTTTTCCCTGCAATGTAAGAAAACCAATCACACATGTAGTCCCAAATAAACAACTGGGTTAAATAAGTCAACATTAGGAGGCACGCAACAACAGATAAAAAGAAAATAAAATGTAACACAAAAGTTTTTCCTCACATTTGTAAGTTAAAACTCATTTCATATAATTCCATGAAGCAGGGAAGCAGCAACAATCAGCATTTCCTTTGCAATTTTCAATTTTCTTATTAAATAACACAATAATTAACCAAATACTTAATTTGCCACGATCATCAAAACAATCCCAAGTAATCAGGTGAACTTACTTTCAAGATCTTGAACAAGAGCTCTCAAATGTTTACATTCCTGATCTTGACGCCGCCTTTCTTCTGAAATGCAGCAGTGTTATAATCAAACAAAAACGGTGTACTACATATTTGTATATACGCAGATATGCTGTCAAAAAGAAACAGAGTCTGGGGAAAATTAAAGGTGCTCTGGCGTAATCCAGGAATGAAACAGGAAAGGACAATAAAACTTCAAGCAATAATGCTACAAAGATCCTAGTCATTCTCTAAAAATTGCTATGTAAAAGATCTTCATATAAACTTGTTATAAATGGCACCGTCCCCGTTTAAGCAGAAAAATTGCGATGTATTTGCGCAATGACAGCATAGTTGTCAATCACGGATAGCGGTGCGTAGCGGTCAACATCTAAAATGCTATAACGGGATAGCGGATAGCAGTACGACCGCTATTTAAATATTTAAGAATATATATAAAATTTATTATATATATACGAAATTATAAAAATATATATAAGAAAAACCTATAAATTTATTTCATAATTATCACCAAAACCAATAAAATGTCAATATATATGATCATAGCTATTAGATAGTTATATAAGCAAAAACAATTAGATCACTATTGTGTGATAGATATATATCAAAGCTAATCAGATTCAAAATATGATAAAAAATTTCTTCCTCATTTTCATCATCCTCACTGCATAATTACTTTTGTCTATATATTTTTTCTCATCTTCTTCATTCTCATCCATTTATTCAACTGTATGTTTGTCACCTTATATAATATATTTTCCGTTTTTAGAGCTTGAAGTACCTATTGCTTTCCTTCTCATTGATGTATTGATGTTTGTATCTTAGTGTAGATAGTAGACCTATTAGCATCAACAACAACTCCCCTAGTCAAATTATCATTGTCAAAAACTAACTTATCATCCGCAATTATCAACTTCTTTAATTAACTACTCTTTGGAATCATTCAAAATATTAGGGCCAATCACATCATTGCTATCATAATGATCTAACAAATTTTGGTTATACTTGATATAAATCAAATCTTGCAACTTTTGGCTTTTTAATTTGTTTCTTTTTTCGGAATGAATCTAAAAATTTAGTTAAGATTTAAGATAAATATTTTTTTGTCTATATTATAATAAAAGAAAATATATTTTATACGTTAAAGTTAAATTTCAATTATTTACGTGTTAAAAAATAATCTAATAAGTTACAATAGCGGTATAGCCGCTAAAGGCTGCTACACCACTATTGTGTAAACGCGGAATTGCGGAGCGGCCGTAGCAGCAGAGTGCCTTTCCGCTATGCTATTCCGCTATTGCACCGCTATAGCGCGCTATTGACAGCTATGAATGACAGTCTATGCATTCAGGTGGAAATTCTAACAGCTCATCAAAGGTTGAAATAGAACTCATAGAATACCTTCAAGAGAAAGGATCCGCCCTCGCTGCTGGCTAATTTGATCAATTAATAACCGTGTCTGCCCTGTGCACTGGGTTTCTGCATCAATCTGCAATTAAACACTGTAAAAAGCAGGTACACACTTTGTCCTAATGGATGAGGCTTGTAAGTGTTTATTCACTAGAAAAAGTGGACAATTTCCAAGTGAAAAGCATCAGTCTAATTAAAATTACGTAAAGATCCAGGCATCAAGAAAAATCCACAAGCATAGAATAAGGAGTGGACATTGAATGCGGGTTAGGGTGACAAATGCATTCATGGAAGTTAGTCATATCAGAAGTTAATCGATCAAGTTTAACAAGATGTACGTACAGCAACAGCAAGTCGATCAGCATACTGAGATTGAGTTGCAAACAGGCGAATCTGTGCATCAAGAAAAACGGTCAGCTGTATCCTAAACTCACCAGAACAGCATAAATTATGTAAAGCTGGAAAAAAAAAAAAAAAAAAAAAAAAAAAAGGAACTTTGGTGGCCGACGCAATTTCAGGGGAGTGTTAGCTTATAATCGAAATAATTATAATGCCTCACAAAACTGTTTATAAGAACCAAAGTTTCTGTACATGAAAGCCCACTGGATCAAGCTAATGTTATTGGATAAAACACTTTTAGAAGCAAGAAACGTGAGGAAAGGCAAAATGGTCCAGAGATGGTTCAACCTGAATGTAGATGAACGGCAGGGTAGCGATGAGGAGGAGATATCGATAGTCGCAAAAGCACTTTCCCATCCTTTATTATCAATGGGATTCCAGAGCGGAGCGCCGCGCGGAAACAAAAAGGATGGAAGGAGAAAATCGAAAGCTTGAGAAATCAATCACCGAAGTCACAAGAACGCCACCCAATAAGGCATAAGTTAAGATCGGCGGGGCGGTGTATCGGCTAGGACTGAATTATGCAATCCTGGAGGCTGGATTTAACTCACAGTCACCCTCGGCCTCGTCAATGATTCCAGATTTGTTCTTCGACTCTGCTCCCCGCCTGTAATCAAGTATTGATTCATTTTTCCTTCATGGAGTAATTAATAATGCACCATTCGTCCAAAGTTCAACGAGGAAAAGGCCAAGTAAAGACCGCCGGGTCTCCGATCGATATTTTTCCTTCCAATAGGTGTCGACTTCGGGCTTAATTTGAGTAATAAAATTTTGAATAAAAATAATTGGTGTAATACTTTTGATATATTTTAGGTTTGATCTATTTTGTATTGTTTATATACATGCTCCTAATTTTGATGATCAATAAAATAATTTTATTATTTTTCTCCAAAATTTCTAATATGGTATTTGACCCTATTTTCCTCCTGCCGTAGATACAGCCTGTTAATCTATGTTTCTCCAGGTACATTCAACCTAGATTGTACCCGGAGGTCTTGTGATTTTGAAATCATGTCTTTGCAAGTTGTCTTTTTGTAAATTTGTCCGTTGTCTGTCTGGTTCTGTCTGCAATTTGAAATTTGTCTACGATCTGCGTATGAAATATTCTTAAATCTGTTTGCCATCTACCATATGTCGACTGTCTGTTTGTTGCCTGCGTGCGATTTGTCATCTGTCGTTATCTGTCTATTGCATGCGTGCGATCTGTCATCTTTCTTGCTTGTTTGTTGCCGGAAATCTGTCTACGATCTGCCATATGTCCGCTGCTTGTCTGTTGCCTGCGTGCGATCTGTTTGGTGTTGCGATCTATTTGTTTTTAGCTTCGGTGAAGAGTTATCTCGTTTTTTGCTCTGGTGAAGTTATGTCGTTTTCGTCTCTGGTAGAGTCATGTCGTTTTCAGCTCCAGTTGAGTCATCTCGTTTTCGGCTCTGGTGAATAGCCATCTTGTTTTCGGCTTCGGCTCCGGTGGAGTCCTGTCGTTTTCAGCTCCGGTAGAGAGTCATCTTGTTTTCGGCTCCGGTGGAGTTATGTCGTTTCAGCTCCGGTGGAGTCATCTGGTTTTCGGCTCTGATGGAGTCATGTGGTTTTCGGCTCCGGTGGAGTCATTTGATTTTCGGCTCCGGTGGAGTCATTTGATTTTCGGCTCCGGTGGAATCATCTCGTTTTCGGCTCCAGTAGAGTCATGTCGTTTTCGGCTCCGGTGGAGTCATCTCGTTTTCGGCTCCGGTGGAGAGCCATCTTGTTTTCAGCTCCGGCTCCGGTGGAGTCCTGTCGTTTTCGGCTCCGGTAGAGAGTCATCTTGTTTTCGGCTCCGGTAGAGAGTCATCTTGTTTTCGGCTCGGGTGAAGTCATGTCGTTTTCGGCTCCGGTGGAGTCATCTTATTTTCGGCTCCGGTGAAGTCATCTCGTTTTCGGCTCCAGTTGAGTCATGTCGTTTTCGGCTCCGGTGGAGTCATCTCGTTTTCGGCTCCGGTGGAGTCATGTCATTTTTTTTTTTGCTTCGATGGAGTCATGTGGTTTCGGGCTGTGGTGGAGTTATCTTGTTTTCGGCCATTTCGTTTTCAGCTCCGGTGGAGTAATCTCTTTTTTAACTTCAGTGGAGTCATCTCGTTTTCGGTTCCGGTGGAGTCATCTCGTTTTCGGTTCACGTGAAGAGTCATCTCATTTTCGGCTTCGATGAAGAGTCAACTATTATTTTTATTTATGTTTTTGTATTGCGTCTATATTCAACTTTCTTATCAAATTTAAATTGGTTTCTATTATACCACTTGAGTTTGAGGGGATGTTGAGATATTTTAGATATTCGGTTTTAGATTTAGTAGATTTATATTTATATTTGATCTTATTCATATATTAGATTACTTAGATTTGAGTCTATCGAGTCTGTTTTGTATTTGCGCTCCTTATTTTGATGATCAATAAAACAATCTCGTTATTTTCCCCTAAAATTTCTAACATATACAAATAAATGTTAGTTCTTGATATTTTAAATATAAAATTAAAATATTTTGTATGAAAAAATAAAAATAAAAATTGATGAACACAAAATTTTCAAAAGTTTTGAATTAAAATTTGAATAATAAAAATTTTGAATTGAAATAATTATACGATGTGATATATAAATAAGTATTAGATGTAATATTTTAAATGTAAATTAATTTTTAATATAATATAAATAAATAAATATTTAATTTAATATTTTGGTGCAAAAAAAATAATCAATAGTAAAAATATTAAAAATTTGCCAAAAAAATATATATACACATTTTAGATAGCAACGACACCATCCATGACCATGAATCTCGGTTTTTAAAACTTTGGCTTCAGAGCAACATCAGTAATACAATCTTCGACACCTGCGACAATGTCAGCCTTGCAAAGTAAGAAAAACAAATCACACAATGGGTATTGAATCGACCCTGTTTTATCTTTTTGACCTGGCCTGGATCATTAGAGGGTCAATTGACGGTCTTTTTTACTCTCTCTCTTTCCTTTCTTTCCTTTCCCATAAAAAAATATTCTTGGGAAAATGAATTTGTTCCTCTTCGTTGGACGCCATGCCGCAATCGTTGTCATTGGGATCATTTTTTTGTCATGAATCGTGTTCATAGTCGGCTCTCTCATCAATCGGTTGAAATTGAAAGTAACATATATATATTCTTACACTTCAAGCTTGATCTTAGTGTCGAGGGTTTATAGTTTTTGTGTGCTTGAGTTCAATTTCATTTAAGCTTTTTAATGCGCCAAATATTTCAATCTCCATCACACGATTCAACCTCTTTAAAATTAATTCCGACTGCCACTCGTTGTTGCTCTTCTTTTATTTCTAAAATGTGAACCGGCCGCAATTGTCTTTTGTGTTCCTCAATTCATTAATTTGATATGTCAATTTTTTTGTGTGCGATTTTTTGTTGAGCATTTTGTTGTTTGCTCAAACATTTTTGTTGATGTGATATTGGTTTTGAGTCATTTGTCGACCGATCTTGCTTATGAATGAATTAATTTGAGGGTTCCAGCAAATTGACGATTTGGGCTGAAATTACAATTATGAGCAAAACTATGACATCCCGGTTTGCAAGCCACGCAAGATCGAGCATGTTGGATTCGTAGATTGACCTTATAGGTCAACAAGAGTTCTTTAATCGCACTTCTGTCCTTACTCACGCGTATCCTGGGAGACTTTCCAGCAAGTTATAAATGCTCATATTACTTTAGAATAAACACACTTAACTCTATAATTCTTTCAATAGTGTTCTTGAAAAGGAATGTGCATATTATTGATATAAGTAGTCTATTCAATCTATTTAGTTACTATTCAATCTCGGATGGTTTGGTACCGGTTCATCCACGGGAGTTGGTTTAGCACCGGCCTAACTCCGGGATATTACAAAAACAACAATTCATAAATGGTTATTGTTGGTTTGATGACTTTTGGGTACTATAACAGCTGCATCTCCCAACCTCAAATTGTTTGGACTTGTTTTTGTTTTTCAATACTCCATTTCCCTTTGAATGTTGCAATTTAAATTGTATTAATTGTGAAATCTAGTTTTCCTAGTTACAGTAATTGATACTTGTGTGTGTGTGTGTGTTTTTTTTTTTAATTTAATTTAATTTTATTTTATGCATTATTGGTTGCACAAAATTTGAAATTAAATTAATTTATTTTTTCTTTAAGTCTGAGCAATGATGGATGAAGATGAAAACCATAAAGATGGCGAGGTACACGAGATAAATGATCTATCCCAATCAAACAACAAATCTTCTCTAAAACCTTCCACTACAACCCCCTACACACAACACAACAACACAACTAAGTCCCAATTTAAGTCAACAAGCACATGTCGGCCCAAATCATTTTAATATGAGTTTCGCCTGTCCTTTCACATCAATGTAGTACTACCCTCAAACCAGTGATCTTTTATTCTACCCAAATGTGTGAATTTTATGTCGTCCGGTGTTCCATCTCGGCCACCATATCACCATTTAGTCCACTCCGCCCATCGAGCCACAGTCAAAGTTTTTTCGCAAGTCAATAATCTTAGTAGGTTGTTAGAGACCAACCAATGTGCAAATAAAAATTGAAACACGAATGAGGATGTGGAGTTGACCAAGGCATGGTGCAAAGTGACAACTGATGCTCGGGTTGGTGTTGGCCAAAAGAAACAGAGATTGTAAGAGTAGATATGCAAGACTTTCATTGTTTTCATGGAAGAAAAATATAGAATAAAAACGAGCTTGAAAATAAAAGAATTTCTGTTGGATATGAGAATCGGTGGATGGAGATCCGATCTTAATATACCAAATGGACTGTTATTCTTATCCAAGTACAACCACAGTATTGTAGCAGTTGGAGCCAGCAGACTTCGTATATCACTACTCTATCGGTATTATAGTTTTTACTTGTTAAGTTTGTTTGAATTATTTATATTTATATTGATTATGTCATAGGAGAGTTATTCTCAACATACATTTCTTTTTATGAATTTGGAATTTTTTTTAGATTTAATATTAAAATAATGTATAATCAGATGTTTTTTAAAAAAATATTTTTTTTTTCAAAAAATACATAATTTAAATAATAAAAACATGTGATTTGAAGATAAAAAAGACACACTCTTAATTTAATGAATAAATAGATAAAAAAAAAAGAAATAAGTTTAAATTGGACAAAAAAAGAAAAAGAAGAAACTATTTATATTAAAAGGAGTTTTAAATAATACTATGCCCGGCCCACTTTGTCGAGTTTTCCATTTCGATCATTCTAACTTATTATGTCATTATCTTTTTAAAAACAATTTAGAAGTGTTTGGTAAACATTTTTTATTAGCTTTTAGCTTATTAAATAGTTTTGATCAGTAAATAAACTAATTTTGGTGTTTTGTAAATTAATATTTTTAATTAATTTATTGGGTCCAAAATGCTAATTTTGAAAAAGTTGGATATCCCATCGTTTATTAGTTTTTTCATTTTAATTTTTCTCCCTTAAAATTAATTAATTCTTTCATGTATATTAATATATATTTTTATTCCATTATTTATTAATTATTTGGATATTTTTTTTTCTATTAACTTATAAATTCATATTTTTAAGTTTAAAATAATTGTTTTTTATATGTCAATTATCTTATTTATAATTGTTTTTATTTTTTTTTAGAATAAAGGTAATATATAAAATATTAATATTATAGATTCATTTATAGTATTTTTTATCACATAATATTTTTATTAAAAATGAATATATTTATTTAAAATTATAAATTTAATGCAAATATATACATTAATTAAAAATTAATCTAATAAAAATACGTATATTAATGATTTTTGTTCTTTTATATTTATACTATTTCTAATGAAAAAGATAATATATTTTTAATAAATTTGCATTAATTTTTTACAAATTATTTTAAAATAATAAAAATAAATATCTTAATAAATTTTTTCTATTTTTAAAAATTAATAATAAAATACTAAAAAAATTTACCTACTGAAAAAACTCAACTAAATATTTTGAAAATAACATATAAAATATTGTCATTTTATTTATAAACAACTAATATCAGATTGTTTTACCAAACACTGTAATATAAACAACTAATTCAATAATCCAATAACTAGTTAAACCAGCTAATCAAATCAAACTACTATCGACTAATTGTCAAATACATTCTTATACACTCTAATGACATACTCCCTCCGTCGCTAGAAAGTATACATATTTCTATTTTGAAACGTCCAATTAGAAAGTAAATATTTTATCAAGTACCTTACTTTTTTACCCTTACTTTACATTACATAATTACTTTTATATTACAAAGACAAAAATGTCATTACATTAGTTTTAACCGCCCATAATAATTGAAATACTATTATTATTTAAATACGGCCGGCAAAAGTAATTGTATACTTTATTAGTGAACGGAGAGAGAGTATTAAATTTTTAATTTATAATATTTTAATTATAATTATATATTTTAATTTTAATTTAAAATTATTTTTATTATATCATGATTATTTTCATTTTATGTATCCGGGACGGACACGGAGGGGGTACTACGTTTTTATTTATATAAAAAAAAACATAAAAAAACTTCCCAAACTAAACCCAGCCTTTGTTTTGTTGTAAATTTTCGTGGGTTATAGGACTAAGCTGGGGTGAGTTTGGTTTCGGACCTTTGGTTGCCGTGAAGCTCCTCTCTTAACAATGGTTCCGGCGGAACATCACCGGCGACGATCAGCAATCGCTCCTTTTGCCGTTTTCCTGTAAAAGATTGAGAATAGGGAAATAAATTAAGCAACAACACTCTTAAATCTGCGCCGGAAGGAATTTGTAGTTATCGGTGCTCCCACTCGCCAGCCATTCGCCATTCCCCAATACCTAGCCGGCTCCCACCCATTGCGCTCAGATATAACACTTCAAGGCAATCCATTGTAGCAGCTCGCAGTCGCTGAACCAGAGGCGTATTGTCGAGCGATGGAATACAGAAAAATCAAAGATCAGGTTGCTTTCCACTTCTCTCCCACCCTAGATTTACTTGCGTCTCCTTTATCACCTGTTGATTTGGTGGCTGTCACCTACTCGATTTGATGGTGTTCTCATCAGCATTAGTTCTCCTTTTCTTTTCTTTACTTTATGATTGTAAAACAAGCTCCCCTGTTCTCTTACTGATTTAGATCGATTCGGTTTAACCTAACTGATCTTAATCTTCTTCCTCACTTTTCAACGGATATATTTGGAATCATTTCTAATAAGGATGAGGACGCTATCCATGTCCATGTCCATGATGATATTGGGAGCTTACGAGGGAGACCTCATTCAGGTGTCGTCACACGTCACTGTTTCATACAGTTTTGCCTTCTCCTTGGCATCATCTACGATCTGCACACTGCATGTCCCATCAATTTTTTTCCATGTGGATTGATCTATTTGTCCTCAAAACCTTTGTTGAATTGCAGGCCCTTCCTCTGCTACTGTTGCTTCAGGAGGCAGTTATGCTGACACTTCCAAGTGGAAGCGCAAGTATGATTGTATTTGAAATGTACTCATATAGTCCCATACAAACTTCAGGGGCTGGTGGGGAGAGTAGTTTTCTTCAGTCTTTATTACTAATATCTTTTCTTAAAACCAGGTCCGTAGTAACACTTGCATTGACGGTTCTTACTAGTTCTCAAGCAATTCTTATTGTTTGGTCAAAGAGGGCTGGCAAATATGAGTATAGCGTTACAACTGCTAATTTTTTGGTGAGTGAGTGATAATAGTAGTGATTACTAAATTATCAAGCACTTTACGTTTTCCATTATTTTCCAAGGTCTTGGGTCTCCTTAATAATTGTCTAAGTTTGTCCAGAATTGTTTATGTCTGAGCAGGTCGAGGCTTTGAAATGTATGATATCACTTGCATCTCTCACTAGATTATGGAGGACCGAAGGTGTTACCGATGATAATAGGTTCTCTCATTTCCCTTTCCATTTTTTTTATCAATCGACTGCAGAACTGCTTGTCATGAAATTGGATCAATGTTCACCTGCTGGCTGCTTATCAATGAAAAATGTTGTGAAAATATGTATTAGAATTGATGAAGACATACTTCTGGCAGTACATTCAAATGAAGCTAATAATCAAAGTTCGCAGTCCTCAACCAGATTTGAGCAAATGCTCTTGACAGGCTTAATAAATGCTTTTAAAGCTAGTTTGTGAGGTTATTAATTAAATACAGGATTGGCATGTTTAAATTAAAAAGTATCTTCTAGTATTTTGTTGACAACTAGACTTGATGCGTTTTTGAGCTGTGTTTGTTTGTGGTTTATATCACATCAACTAATTATTTTAATTCAAAATTTTACTTTTCTCAATCTCAAACCCAACTCTTAAACATAGAATCAAACAACCTGGCCTGTTTCCTGCTTTTCAGTCAGCTGAATTATATTTTAAAATTTTTCTGTTTTCAAATGTCTTCCTCCACAGATTGAGTACAACATGGGATGAAGTTAGTGTCTACCCCATCCCTGCTGCCCTTTACCTTGTCAAGAATTTACTTCAAGTATGTTCAATATTCTTGGCTGCTAATGACTCAGTGAATGTTAGTTCCTTCAGTGCCACTGATTATAGATTCTGTTTCTTTGTGGCAGTATTACATATTTGCATATGTAGATGCCCCAGGATACCAGATACTGAAGAATTTGAATATTATCAGTACTGGTGTTTTATACCGTATTATTCTCAAGAGAAGGTAGGTGATTCCTCCAAAATTTTCTCATCTAGTTTAAAGTCTGAAATGGATTTTTAGATGATATAAGCGAGTCTAAAGCATTTTAGGGTGCTTTTGATGTCGGGACAGGAAAAGTTAACTTTTAAAGCTTTATGATTTTGCGTTTTTGTCATTTGTGGAGGAAAAGGCTGTGTTGATTGGATGTTATGCTATTAAAAAAGAAAACACACACACACACAATATAACTTATCAGTTTTCTTTATTTTCATTTCAGGCTGAGTGAAATTCAGTGGGCAGCTTTCATTTTATTGTGTGCAGGGTGCACCACTGCACAGCTAAAGTCTAAGTAAGGATGCTGTAGAAATCATTTATTGTTATTTAAGCTTAGATAGGGAATGGCTTCTAATCTCTGTTTGAAGTTTCCCTGTTTCTTTAATCATGATTAGATGATGGTAATAAGCTGTGAACTTCGTGTCAATGAGCTTTTGTGTGTACTTGTGGGATGATTTTTTCTTTTTGACAGTTCTGATGCAGTGTTGCAGACACCTTTCCAAGGTTGGATGATGGCAATTGTGAGTTTCTAAGTCTGATAGCATCCTACTATATCTAGTCACGATTGCTGATATATGGATCAAAATAGTGTTCCTTGACTTTTGAGATTGTTATTACCTAGTTTCTACTTTAAGGATTTATCAGGACAGAGTGAGAATGAAATTATATCATGAAGAACCATATTCTCCATGTTTAGCTGATATTACGACATGTATCTAATATTGGATCCTTTGAAGCAGAACTAAACCTTCTACATTAACTGTTGATTGGTTATTCATGGGTTTACAATCTATTTTAAAACACCACAAAGACAACTACTTCCAAGACATTTGAGTACTCCAGTTTTTTTTTTTTTTTTATTTTAATTTTAATTTTTAAATGCAGATGCTAATTGTAGAAGACTGAAGACATAAATATAAATTATTAATAAGTTCATTTCTCTCATAACTGTGTGTATAAAAATATGCAGTTATGCACTGGCCTTAACATTGATTTCAATGCAGAGACAATGTTATTGTGGATTGACATACAGAATCCAAACATAGGTTATGTAACACTTGGTGGGTTTTGTTTCAGATCATGGCACTTCTTAGTGGTTTTGCTGGAGTCTACACGGAGGTAATTTAGTAGCACGCCATCATGCGTGATTGGTTAATTCCTTAGGCAGAGAAAAACTAGTTGATTTTGAGTTATCCAATCCATGATGCTATTCTGGAATTCTGTTGTTAATGACAATGCTGTTATTTTGAAATTCCTTGTTGGATCTTGCTACTCCACACATGTTCGTTGCTATAGTTGTTATGGAATATCATATGTTAGTGCATTTGGTCTTATGTTCACATTTGCTACTGTTTTTTTGGCAGGCCATAATTAAAAAACGGCCTTCAAGGAACATTCATGTTCAGAACTTCTGGTTATATATATTTGGGATGGCTTTCAATGCTCTTGCAATACTGGTTCAAGATTTTGATGCTGTTGTGAACAAGTAAAAACGAAACTGCATATTGCCTCTGTTTTTCTATTTTACTTGTGGATACTGACTTTGCATCATTCATGTCATTACTCCTGTGTTATTGCCAATGAGATTTTCTGGCTTGATACTTGGAATTATGCTCATTGTATGGACGCGTTGTTGGACTATTGGCTTCAGAGCGTTCAATACAAACAGTGCATAAAAAATCACTGTTTATAATTATGACCTTATCTGAAGAATTTTCTTATCTGCAGCAATTTGAACTGCTTGAAGTAAATAATATGCAAATTCTAAATAACTACGATTTTTTTTATTTCTCTGTACAGGGGATTTTTTCATGGATATTCACTGATAACTGTGCTGATGATAATGAATCATGCTATGAGGTATTCCATTTCGGCATTTCTCTACTATCAGTACAAGGAAAAGTACTTTTGAGTTTTGATGATATCTTAATTTGTTTCTTGAACTCTTTAGCTAGCTGCGGTATGTTTGCTTTTTCATGTTCTGTTTAGTCTTGAATGGTTTAGGAACGTTTTGATATCTTAATTTGTTGCTAGAACTCTTTAGTTCGCTGTGGTGTGTTAGGCTTTTCCATGTTCTGTTTAGTCTTGAATGGTTTAGGAAGATGATATCCTAATTTGTTGCTAGAACTCTTTAGTTCGCTGTGGTATGTCAGTCTTTTCCATGTTCTGTTTAGTCTTGAATGGTTTGGAAATTTCCTAAGATTTCTTGTAGAGTCTTTTCAATTTGATTTCACCTGGAGATTAGTTGTCAATGACATGGTCCATGGACATATCCTGGTCTTTGTTGATATTTACTGGTGTTTAGAAATTTTTATTCCTAGAAAAAATGCAGCCGCTTTTCTTGGACTAGTCACATACAAATTACTTATGAAACATTGGTTTAATGTCCAAATTCCAAGCATGATAATAAGCTGTCATTAAAAACCTCTTTTGGCCATAAATTACCACCATATTCTTTGGCATGACCCGGGAATACAACTGAAGTATGACAATTATTTTGCTGATTGTTCTGATTCCCATATTTTGTTCCATTATGCATGCTATTTAATTTGTTTATTAGCTTCAATTCAATAAGCTCTCTCCACATTTGATTATCATATATTGGGTCGAATACAAAATAGAAATTGCTTAAGCTGTTCAAACAGCTGGTTTTGATTTATCGAAATCAAACCTTCCAAGATATGGTTTTGGCTTCAGTTTGGTTGCTTTTGCTCCATTTTGATTTTAGATCCAGTGTTTTATTACTTTGATTTAAACTAATACTACACCACTTTTTATATTTTTTCTCATTATATACATATACATCCTTATATATTGTATGTTTAAAAAAATAATAATTTATTTTTTGTAAACTTATATGCTAACAATCTAATAATACATATTTTTGTAAAAACTTATAAAGGTGTATTCTTTCAGCGAAAATTTTTGGTTTGAACAGTGGTTTAGACCTGATTGGGTACAAACAATAGCCTACTTTTATTGGAAATCGCAATTGGTGCATACTAACAAAAGAAAAAAAAAAAAAAACTAAAATCAAACTTCAAAAGAACAGAGCCATATAATTATAGCATTTAAAAAGATATGTTTTTATTTAAAATAATATTATAAAATTTTATCAAAGTTTATAACTTACATTGCAACAAAATATTTATTTAAGTTATATTTTAATTTTACAAAATAATTATTTAAGCTGTACTTTATTTGACTTATAATTTAAGTTTACAAGATAATTATTTGTTTAACTTATTTAAGCTATAAGTTATATTTGCATAATCAAAGAAAATAGTGAACTATTTGTTTGAACCAGCAGTTAATGGTTTCATTAAATGTGGAACTTTTCGGTTAGAATAAATGGAAATTTAGTTGAAGGAATGATTTGTCTTTTTCAAGTTTCCAAGTCAGTAGTAAACTAGTATTTCCACAAGCTTGTCATATCATTAGTTTGACGCATATTTGGAAAGAAACTGTTGTTTTAGGAAATTAGACTGTCACACACACATGTGAATCTGAAAGAGCAAAAGTATCAATACATATGATAGATGCCTATCCTGCTGTTGATCCCTTGATCTCAACGTAGGTGTGATTTGATACTTTTGTACTGTTCAACTTGTCTTTTGATACCTTGCTTACTACTAAAATGTCCCTAATTAAATGATGTTGATGCAGTGGTATTGCTGTATCAATGGTTATGAAATATGCTGACAACATTGTGAAGGTAAACTCACTTTCACACGTGGTTTTATTTGTGTCCTGAATATTTAGTTATACCTCTAGCTGCTATTTAATAATTCAAAGTAGCCCTGAAGATGTAAGAAGGAAATACTAAGACAAACTACAGTAACTGAGTGAGACACGAGTTGTGGAGGCAAAAGTTGGCGCATTAAATTCCGATAAAAAAAAGGTGGCGCATTAAATGCTTTGTTGCTCACAACGCCATTCAATAATAATACAGCTCCATTCATGTAGAGAGCACATGGCATTAACCTTATAAAATCATAACTTACTCAAAACTAGGCTTACAGTTTGACAAGATTTTTAAAGCTTCAGTGAGAACCCGAAACACATTTTTTAGTGTCTTGTCTTACTTGAAAAAAGTCAATTGTCCCCTACAAAATGTACAATTCATTCTTACGCATTCAAACTAGATAAACTAGCTATTCTCTAAATTCAAATGTAATATCTCTCGCCTAATGGGTTTCTTTGGATGCTTTAGAGGTGCTGTTCCCTTTAATATGAAATGAGAAATCTCTAGTTTCTCCCTCTCATTCTTGTGGCATTTATAGCTTTCGTACCATGTATCTCATTTTTTCATCTATTGGTGCTACACCTAGTTTTCATTTAAGAAATTCTGTATTTATTCTGTCTAATTTAGGTGTTCCTTGTATCCGTATCGACATTCTCATTTCAACTACCCTCGTATTTTGTGCACGATCTCACCTAATCTATCGAACATTGTTGGTTTTTATAGAAAATTACACTTTAATCACTCATATAATCACTTAAGTGACTGTATCATATACTTCGAAGTTGTGCATTCCATGCAATAAGAGGTTTTTCTACTGATTCCTGTTCTAGAGCTTTTTAATGCAGGCCTGTTGCATGTAAAAGAACAAAGCATTACTGATTCTTACCAAGTTTTTCTATATTTACAGGTGTATTCGACATCAGTTGCAATGCTGTTGACAGCAGTTGTATCTGTTTTCTTATTTGGATTTCATCTTTCACTTGCCTTCTTTCTTGGTTCTATGTAAGTACATATATTTTATGTTTGCTACTTTTTAAATGGCTTGTAGCATTTACTTGATTGCTTATACAAAAGCATGAAATAGTAGAAACTGATTTCAGTTCCTCTTTTTTCAGCGTTGTTTCAGTCTCGATATATTTACACTCAATTGGAAAGGCCCCGAGATAGTGGAAGCAACTTTTCAGCCATATTAGGGTGATCAGTCTAATATCTTTATGAATTTCCATCTGTAGCATTGATTGATTTGTCACTATAGCATATTAAAATTTTCACCATGCCTTAAGATTGCATCCAGTATTATATGCTTACAAGTGAGAATGCTTGGATGTGTCTATTATTTTTGTTGAAGTCAAAGGATATTGTTGATTTAGGTGATCATTTGCTGTGCACTGAACTTCTTGCATCCATGTTTGTTCCATCTCTTGATTGATATTCTTGATTTTTTTTTTTTTTGTTTTGTTTTTGCTTAGGGCGACCACCATTTAAATAGGGAGAGTAAATAAGGTTAGATGTATATTCCGTAACACTCCCTTTTTTAAGTAGTATTTATGGCAATCATGTCTAGCTTGATATAGAGTTGTAAAAAGCATGTTACCTCATTGATTTTCTGAAGATATCAGCAGTTTGGTTGGATTAAGAAGTAAATTGAGCTGTAATTTGATGGCTTTTAACACAATTGCAATTGAAGTGGTAGTTAACTTAAATTTGTCTAGCCCTTCCATGAAAATTTGTGAAATAGCGCTCATTTCCTCATCCATATTCTCTGTCCAGATCAAGTGATTTTTCTTTTGTAAATATTATGTTAAATTATTATTTGAATCAAAATTTTAATTCTGGGATTAAAAAAATTCCGTTGCAAGTAAGTAGGTTACTTTTATTGGCTGAGAAATACTAGACTTGTTGCTACCAATTTCAACCGGTAAGAAATACTTGGGACATCCGAAATCCTTCGTAACAAAATGTTGTTGCAAGTATTTTTATTTATATATATTTATTTAATTCTTTGGGATGGTCTTGTGATGTGGGGTGAACTTGGTGAGGTTCTGATACTTTCAGGTCTACCTGCCACATATAGTTAGCCTACTGTGATTTGTCTTATCGGCCTAGTTTGTAAAAGAAATCAAAATTTGACGGAGAAGTAGAAGTAGAAGAGAGTAGTTAACCCTGTAAATTTGAGTGTACCCTTTGATTACTAGATAAATTTTGTACTGTTCAATGGTGCCATCAACACGATATTTCAAAACAAACACCAAATGACAAGCTACAATATTTGCAAAAGATATGCAAATGCAAATTTCAAAGTATCATGAGATAAAAGTGTCGAAATTTCTCAACCGCAAAGCAGGGTTTAAGATACTACATGATAACAAGTTGGAATTAGGTGTAGAAAATAAAGAAAAAAATAAATTAGATTTTCATAACTTATATGCGGAAAAATGGAATATGCATTTAAAATAGATATTCTGAGTTAAGATATATATACATATATATATATATAAAATGAGAACTAGATTAAAGTAATCTGATTCTTCGTCCAATAAAAAGTATTTTTAGTTTGCATGGTTTAATAATTGATTCTAAAAATTTATACACTAATTAATACAATAAATTGAGTAGGTTGCTTGTATAGTTCCGCCATCAACCATTTTGTTATTTAATGCAATCATTTTACTCGAATGATATAGGATGAAGATTTTCCGAATAGAAATTTTTTAATCAGAATAACTAAACTCCTTTTAAAGAAGAGTTTGAAAATAGTAAAAAATTAGTATGTGATTAGATATTTTGTCGAGAGATAAATATATTTGATATTATATTGTTTGAGAAAAATTAAATAACATCAAAATTTATAAATATTGTGTAAAGAAAGGCCTTTATTATCTAGGATAACATTCCCACATCTCCCAAGTGGTTGTTGCAGTTATGGAAGGGAAGATAGCCGCGATCGTGTTCATTCTATGTAGTCAATTAAATCTTTCTTTTTTTATCTGAAAGGTGTTGGAAAAGTACTTTGGTAAACCTAATTTGGCCAATACCATATTTCTGCTGACCTGACCTGAGTCGTCTTTCATTTATATATTTCTGACAATTAATTCCTATATACTTCCAGCACTACCACGCAAGTTCTTTTGCCATGTTACATGGTAATAAGTCTTGGATGTTGGAATCTAGAGCATGCCCACATAAATATACAAAGACTTGTAATAAGAACATCATCGGACATCAGTAACAACAACAACAACGCTTGCAGAAATACAAAAATAAATTAATCATAATATAATTTGAAACCATAATATAATTTGAATCTAATTTGCCATTTCGCTGAGTTTTCATTGGCGCCCGGTTCAGCAAGTCGGAAGGTAAGGGGGCGAAGTCCCCCTTCTGGGTTCCAGGGGTGCGGAGTGACTCCGGGCTCGACAGTATGCAGTATTGGATTTTAGAGTTGGTTTAGAGCTGAGCTTGTAATGTATTTTCTTTGTTTATTTAGAGATATGTTGTATGTTTCTGCTGTAGATGTAGGGTGTGTTTGCTCAGTTGTTTTGCCCAAATCGGGCCGGCTCCCCGAAGCAGCTACAATGTAAATATATATATATATATATATATATTATTGAGTATAATATAAATTTATAATCAAATCATACAATATAAATTTTGTCAATTTATTTAATATATATTTATATTATTTTATTTATTATCCATCAAATCAATACAAATCAAAACTTCAACCAAACATAAACACAAAAAAAACATAAAAATTCAAACCCATCTCAAAATTAAAATAAAAATCAAACTCAAACTCAAATTTCCCGAACACAATCAATACATTGTTGTTACCACGAAATGTGTCTTGTTTAGGTTAATATAATTATTATTGTTATGAAAGTAGACTGCCAAAAAGAAAACAGAAAACAGAGGGTCGTTCGTTCATAATCATAGCAGCGGAACAACTATTTCAGCTTTGTTGAATAAGAGGAGAAGCAGAGTACAATACTGTAACATATCAAAGAATAACAAATTTGAACACCAGCGGATTCATTGATTGATCGCATTTCTCTCCACTTACTGCTGCTGCAGAATTAATGGAGTCCGTCTGCAATCTACATACATACATACATATATAGATAGATAGCACTAACAACAGGCAGTGATCATATTACTTATTATTATTTATTTATTTATATAACCTCTGAGTTTGAGGAGGAGATTGATCCCCACTCCCTAATCGACTCTCTCTGTCTCTCAATCTCAAGTAGAAAGCTTTGGGGCAGCATCTTTGTTATGGCTGGCTCTGTTGAACTTCATGTGGCTATTCACAAGTTGCCCTGCAGAAATTGCAGACATGAGGGAGAGCTCTCCTGCAAGAACTGTCCCTGCAACAATGGTGGCCAACAGCCTCGAGTTGGACCCCGGGACCTCCTTACTCGCCCCCTTCACCCCCAGAAGATTCAGACACGCCGACTGCGACGGCAACTGAGTTCCGCCCCCGACTGTCCCAACCTCGATCGAAGGCATTGTCACAGAAATGTGCAGATCCTTCCCATCATTCACTGCCTCCATCATCGTGATGCAGTGAGAGCTCTCGATATTCTGCGCTGGATCTTGACCGGTGGCGATGTAGACTGCAGATACGAGGTTGCTGGCGTGGGCGTTGAATCCGCCGAGAGCTCCGGCGACGGCGGAGCCCGTGAGGTTCTTGAGCATGTTGAGTTCCACCAATGAGGAAACGTTGGTTTTGAGCACCTTCTTCACCACTTCTTCCTTGATTATGGCTTCGCACACCACTGATTTGCCTCTTCCTTCGATCCAATTCACTGCTGCAGGTTTCTTGTCCGAACAGTAGTTCCCGGATAAGCCGATCACTTCCATGTCTGAGAATTCGTTGCCGAGGAAGTCGATTACGTTCTGCACTCCCTTGGATACCATGTTCATTCCCATGGCGTCCCCTGTGCTGCAGGAGAATCTTATGTAGAGATTCTTTCCGGCCACTGCGCATTTGATGCTCTGCAGCCTGCCGAAGCGGCTGGAGCTGTTGAACACCATTGATAAGGTTTCGAAATTGAGAGGATCCTCGAGGAAGAACTTCAATTCTGCAGCTCGCTTGGCTGTGGCGAATCTGACGACCGGAGCTCTTGTCATTCCATCTCTGAGAACTGCGCTGAAAGCTCCGCCGGAGGCTAAAATGGCTTTGCAGCCTCTGTTGGTGCTGGCGACCAGACAGCCCTCTGTTGTGGCCATGGGGACGGAATATTCTCTGCCGTCGAGAAGGAGTGGCCCTGCTATGCCCACCGGAATCTGGACATACCCTACCGGCATTTCGCAGCACTGCCCTAATATGGCGTCGTAATTGAAGCCCTCCAGAGGAAGTCCGGCGAGAGATTTTCCGGTGGCGCGCTGTAACGCCTCCCGGCGAATGGCTGCTGCACGGCGGCAGTCGCCGAGCTTTGATTCGAGGGAGTAGGATGGGATTTTTCCGTCGATCACTGATTTGACGATCTGCTCGTCTTCCTCGTCGAGGGAGGGATTGACCACCGGAGAGGGAAGCTCGCCGTCGTCGGAGACGAATTTGGGGGTGATTTTGGAAGAGGCGATTTTGCAGTCGTCGCCGGCGGAGGGCATACAGGGAGCGGCGCGTGAGTCGTCCTTGAGCATCGCGGCGGTGAAGTCTTGGTCGATCAATTCGTCGTCGTCATCGAGGAGATCGTCGTGGGAGGTGCGGGGGATGACAAGAGACTGGACAAAACCGATGCCGAAGAAGCCGAGGAGGTAGATGAAGGAGGCGACGAAGGAGACTATGGAGCAGATCTCGGAGAGAGTGACGACGTGGAGGGGGATGGAGCTGCGGATCTTCTCCCGCCATTGGAGGAGCAGGTAGTAGACGGAGGAGAAGAAGAGGGCGAAGAAGACGGCGTTGGTAAGGTAAAGGGGGAGGGGAAGGGCATCAGACGCCTTCGTCGGAGGGGAACTGTAATCGTGGCCAGGCGGCGCGACTTCGCCGGCGGAATCTTTTGAGGATCGGCGGCGGAGGGCGGCCATTCTGCGGCGGAGGAAGATGATCGGAGATGGAAGCCGGTCGACGCTGCGCCGCTGCCCTTTCCCCCAAAAAGGATCGGAAAAAGGGCTAGGATCTTTTGTTGGTTGGTTGGTTGGTAGGGATGAACTGTGAATTGAATTGTATTGAATGAAGTGCAGGCAGGTAGGAAGGTCGGTATTTATAGCTATGGAGTCTGTCTGTATGTATGTATGTATGTCTGTCTGTCTAGGGTTCACTGTATGCTTTATTTTGGAAAGGAGGATGATGACGGCGATATAATATTATTGTTGTCGCTGTATTTCTTATTTGTTTTAAGTAATTGAATTATTTGATACTGATAATTATGTATAATTTTATCCCTATGTATATGACGCATGTTTTATTTAATGTCGAACTTATTGCTTATTTTCTTGATGTAGAGGAGAAAGAATTATTTAAAAAATCCTGCTATATTTGACCCGTTTGATATTCGGTTTTTATAATTAATTTGTATATGGAAAACCCTTACCCTTAACCATACCCACCAAATGAGAATATCGAAGGAAATAGTGGGTGCTGTAACGTTCGATCCCGGCTCCACTACACTAACGACAATAACAATAACATTAATTTCTAATTTATATTTAATTTAATTTAATTTAATTAAAGTTCCGTTATTTGGCGTCCACCTCCCTCTATCTGTAATTCTGTATTATCTGGGTTGGGTTGGGTCGTTCAAAATCATACAATGAGTAAGTGAGTATAATGCCACCGGGTCAACAGTCAGCAGCACATGTTCTTCCTCTTGACCGTTTCATTTTTTTTTTATGAACCCCATTTTTAGACTTTCCTAATGTGCGGTACCGCCAAACTCATATCCTTCTGGCCCGTTTAATATGAACGCGTGTTACCGTAAATACGAGAATTTAAGTAAAGTGATATTAGTAAAAATAATCATTGTATTTAAAATGAGATTAATGTGTATAACTATATATAATTTTTTTTTTTAAGAAAAACAAATTATATGAAATAAATAAAAATAAAAAATATAGACAAATTATGTGGGAGGGAGAGAGGGAGTACTGCACAGTACACATGTTTTCCTTCTTTTATTCATTTCTCTGAAAACTGAAACACAGATGCATTGCATGTAAAGCATGCATGCTAAAAAATCTCATCTAAGTTTTTTTCTTTTTTTTTTTTTTAAATGGAGTTTGGAAAATTTTGATTTGAATTTATATTAAAATAATGTATAATAAAATATTGTGAGAAAAAAAATAATATTTTTTAGAAAATAAAAAATTTAAATAGTAAAAATTTGAAGTTTTTTTTTTGGTGTAAAGATAGTCACATAATAGATAGATACAAAGAATGGAATGAATTATGTGGTGGGGGGAGAACATGAGCATGAAGGTACGTACGTACGTAACGACAAATACGATGACTAAAAAATCTGGCCACCATGCACTCAATTAACTTGCTATATATAAATATATATATATAGTCAAAGGAAGCTGCGTCGCCTATGAAGACATTTGAGGACATTAAAAATTTAAATATTACTCCCTCATTCGTACAAATGTGTGTTTATTTAATCAGATACGAATTTTAATAAAAGTGAATAATATCCTTTAATAATAAAAAACAATACAAAAGTGAAATAATTTTTCACTTAAAAAAAATAAAAATATTTTTCGACCACAAGAAAGTGAATATAGATTTGAACTACGGAGGGAGGGAGTAGTAAATATAATACTATTATATAAATACATACATATCATCACCGCAACTAATTATGCATTGGTTTGATTTCCTGTATTGTCGTTTGTGCGGGAAACCACCAAGCACCAGCGCAGTAACACTACTCTCTCTCTCTCTATATATATATATATATTTATTAATTAATATATTCCTGTTTTTCCCGTTTGGGTGTGCTGAATTGAATTTGAAACTGCTCGCTCACTACATTAGACTAGGAAGACTCATCACATACATACATATATAATGATAAATAATCTTTCTATTAAGTATATAATATTCCATTCTATAGTAATTTTCAAAACGCCTACCTACTTGTATTATCGCATTTAAAATCGGTGACAAATTTGAAAGTCTTTTATATAATGTGTGAAAAATAGGCATTTGTAAAAATTTCATTATATTGTATCTTATTCATCACCAATTGTAGCATCCGTTTACATGTATACAAGGTTCGTTTCTTTTGGTGGGAAGAAAAGAGAATGGTATTTCATTTCAAATACACAATAATGATATATACAATTAAGGACAAATATGAAATTTTATATACAAATATGTAATAATATATATATATATATATTAACATCCCATTCAAACTCAATGTGTCAACTTGAGTGTGCCAAGAGAGTAAGAAAATGACCAAAAAAAAAATATTTGATGAAAAGAAGTCCGTTGATCTTTAATGGAAATCCAACGTAACATAACCGTCTTAACAACCATATATGGTCGTACAGAATAATAATAAATCTCGATTTGCTTTGTGTACTCGTGAAAAATATCATTATGTGAAATTTGTATAACACCCTAATTGTCACGGTGAACAGTAGTAGAAGAGGGTTGAGGGGCACCAACCAACAAGTTCAGATAATAGCTTGTAGAGCCACAGAAATTCGGATGTAGAATAAATAAGAGTGCGATACTCGGGCTCAACACTAGACATAGAGACAATTGCCTGTTTCTTAATGCGCCAACAAAACAGAGAGTCACCCAGGAACAAAAAATAGAAACCAATAGTAGATCGACGGTCAGCGGAATCACCAAGGACGAGTGGGCCGGAAAATGTAAACTATAATAAGCGCGCGTACCCTTAGCATATGAAGAATATAAAGCACGAAAGAATAATGCATAACGTTATGTCTTACAAAACTAACTATGGTTATTGATGTTGACATAACGAGAACTAATGTGGCAGGTGATCTGGATAGAATATGGTCATATTCAACAAAATATGTTCATGTATAAACCGGTAATGCTAAAAGCCTAAAACATCATAAACAAATACGCCGTATTTCAATTACCACATGGCCGTGGTTCCAGCACGTCAGTGTTCACAAAAACATACGTGCACGTTGATTAAAAAACAACACGAATATTTCTAACATGTATCCAACTACGGTAACATTATCTAACCACAATCACATTATATTAACATAGTTGTGTCTCACTAAACAAAAACATATTTATCAAACCGCGGTCGTAATTGGTTGAATATGGCCTATACTTAGATCATGTCGGCACACATCTATGTTACTATTGGACATGATCGTGTTTGAAGTAAAAACAAGATAGCTAAAACACTATTTTTGAACACAACCGTGTTTCATATATACACGGCTATGTTTCACCACGTTTTTCAAAAAAAATTTCATATTTATACACAGCTGTGTCAGTGGTGTACATTGCATATTATGTTATACTTTTGTTAAAAACCTTTCATCTCCAAACAACCATTATATATGTTCTATATTTTTATGCTTATTTCCTCTCATTCTTCTTTTTCTTCTTTTTTTTAATAACGTGGGAACCGCAGCAGCTACTCTTCGGGTGCGCTAACCCCCGGCCGAACCTAATAGCCTGCAAATTAGGCCCGGCAAGTTTTCCTTATTCTGGATAACAACAAAGTTACATACATATATATATATATAGATTTATTAATAGGATTTATCTTTTATCCTCTAATAAGTTATGTTCTTGTTTCTTTGATTTTTTGAATTTTCTTTTTTGTATATATATATATATATGTATTTATTGATAGGATTTATCTTTTATCCTCTAGCAAGTTATCTTTTCAATGCTTTAAAGGTGATTGATCAATTAACATTTGAAATTAGGATATAAACTCAAAGCATGAGTGTATGTGGGTTATGAATATAAAAAATATAAAGTCATCATAGCTCATCAAAAAATACTACTTGTTGTTTCGATCAAATCCAACGAGATGTGTACAAGGATTTATAATAGATATCTCCGAAGATATCATATGCAATGTATCTCAACAACAAGTATATAGGGCAAAAAAGACGAGACTTAAATCAATTGTTGGTGATGAAAATGAGCAATATGAGAAGTTATGAGATTATGCCAAAGCCCTGCGTTAATCTAATCCTGAATCCCGTGTCTTGATAGAATTGGAAATTGAAATCGCTTGTTTTTGGATTTCAGCCTGATTTTTGACTTTGTGATTAGGATTGGTGGATGTCATTTAAAGGATTTGTGCCAAGACATACTATTAATTGTCATTTCAATTGATCTCAACAATATGTTATATCATTTGGCCTATTCCAGTTGTTAGGAATGAAATGCGTGAGACATCGAATGGATTTTTTTTTTTTCTTTTTATTCTTTTGAAGAGAACTTGAATATAAAAATCTGATGAGACATATACCTTCATATTGGACAAATAAAAAGGGTTTATACCTGTCATGAAAAAGTTTTCTCCAGTTCAAAAATAAGGTTTTGTGTTCGGAATCTTTATGGTAATATCAAAATTGTTGGGTTCAAGGGACTTGCATACAAGTGATTGATTTGGATGGTTGCATATACAACTATTATTCATGGGGTCGAGGATGCTATGAAAAAGATTTGAGAGCTTGATGGCAAATGCGTTGATTGACTTTCCGAGAAACTATCTTCGCAATAATTGATGTCATTTTTTACTACCTTTTCAAAGTGTAATATGATTTTAATATTGTGTGAATATTTTAATGGTGTTATTTAAGATTCTAGAGAACGTCCAAATTGCCAATATTGAGTGGATTAAAAGGTATTTACTATCATGGCTTGCAAAGCGAGGGAACATAGCCCTTTGAAAGTGGGATAATATGTATTTTCTCAAAGATAGTCAATATTATGGAAAAAAAATTATCTGGGAAGCTTCGTCGTGTGTACCTATCAAATTCAATGATTATATGTACAGAGTGGCTTGCTCAGATGGAAGTATATTTATAGTTGATATTTTGAAAAAAAATAAAATGTGTGGCCGTAGAAAATGAGATTTATATAAAATTTCTTGTTGCCATTGGATGAGTGTCAATATGTGGGCAACAAATAGATCCAATATATTTTATTGACAAAGTATATAATGTTGCGATATTTCTTAAATTTTATTCATATTCTATTAGACCAATAAATTGACAAGAATTGTTGCCATGAACG